AATACAAGCAGACAGACAGATGGACGGACAAACAGACAGACACACCAAAACAAAACCTCTTGCTAAATGGAGGTAAAGCTAGTGAACACCACATATTAACGCTCCACTGGACACTTGTTGCCTGCAGGGATGCTGATGTCTGGGGTTCAGATGCTGCTGTTTGCAGGACTCATCAACCTGTTCTTCAGGTCCTACTTCCTCTTTCAGGTAAGAACAGCTAGCTTACAGCAGGGTAGTTACAAATGTATCTCAATCATTGTTAAATTTTTATCTTAAGTATTTTTTTTTAAACTGTAGAGTTCTATCACAGTAATAGCCATGAAATATTCCTGTGTTTTCCACCACCTCCCAGGCACAGCTGTATGTGGGACTGGCCATCTTCTGTGCCTTTGTGCTGTATGACACCCAGCTGATCGTGGAGAAGCGCCGCCGTGGAGACACTGATTACATCTGGTGAGTGGAGTAGAACCACAGGCTGCAGTACCTCACTGGATCACTAGGGAGAGCTGCTGTCACAAGTTGCTGAAAAAATGACCACTTTGCCTGGTTTATATAATACCAAAACTACATGTATTAGCTGCCGAGTTGCTTTCAATCTCTGCAAATAGTGGAGAGAACTATTTGAAGAGATCTAAAATAGGTTTGGTAACTAGGCTAACCTTACATTGCAAAAGCTACAGTACTAAATATCAGTGCACAACCAAATTTTCTGAGACAGTTGTTTCATGGCCTAGTGCATGTAAAAAACTGACAGAAGGGTTTCAGGGCACAACTTTAAGCACATTAAGCTGTAGCCTGTTGTCCAAACCTATGTTTTAGCTTGAGTTTCTTTCTTTCTCTGTCACCAGTTTTGGACACCAGGCTACAGCTTAATGTGCTCACATGTGTTATAAACAGCCTGCCTGAAATGTGTTTTTGTTACCTCCATGAAAAATGGAGGTATTGTTTTTGGCGTGTCTGTCTGTATGTATGTATGTATGTGTGTGTGTCTGTCTGTCTGTCTGTCTGTGTTTCCGCAACTTTGTGGTCAGCATAACTTCAGAACGCCTTTACGGATTATGATGATATTTGGTATGTTGGTTAGTCTTAGGAAGACAAACGTCAAGGTCAAATATGGGCCTCCTGGTGGATGACCTTGGTACTGCAGCAGAACTTCCGGTTTTTGTATCTTTTGTCCTGAACATGCTATGGTCTTGATGTTTTGGTGACAGATTGCTTTTCCTGTCAGGAATAAGTGGTGTGAGTTTGGTCTCCCTAGCAGCTTGTTCTGGAACTGCAGGGCACTTTCTGGCGAAATGTTTAAAAGCCAATAAGTCCAGATAGGAACA